GACGAGATGGCCGTTGAGCGGGAGGCGGCAGTTTGTGAACTTTGTGATGCGCGGCGTGGGTACGGGGGTGTCGGGATGTTGGGTTATGGAGGGCATGGTGATGGGGGTCTTTGTTTCTCTTTTCTCCCTCCTCTTTTTTTTTTTTTTTTTTTTTTTTTTTTTTTTTTTATTGGTTTCCTCCTTCTCCTTCTTTCTTCCTCCTTTTTGTTTAGTGTATTTCCTTCTTCTATATTGAGAGAGTTGGTGAGAATGAGGATATTAGCTATTGTATTGATTAAACTGAAATAGAGTATAAGCTGGAAGCTTTTCGAAAAGAATTTCTTGGTAGAATCGAAAGTTTATGATGTTTATTTTTAGTCATAATATATAGAAACAATAAAAAAAACATACCCAACGCCCACACAGCAGCAGCAGCAGCAGCAAGAAAGAAGAAGAGGGATTGATTGCTGGATTCACTGGGACAGACGAGGGGGGGGAAACAGTAAATATCAATACCAATTGCTGATGGGGAGACTTGGGGAGACTTGATAACTCTGCCCGTAAGCTGATGGAGCGCAGATTGGCGGTGATGACGGCGATGGCAATCAAAAAGAACTTTAAATGCCCGTAGCCCTACAGAATACACGCGATGCAGGTTAGGGTAGGATGTTTGCTCCAAAACGAGAAGAGAGAGACACTCTCTAGACTCTTGGTTTTTCTGGCCAGGCTATCTACGCAGGAATCACATCACATCACATCAAAACCCCCGATATCTAGGTAATTCCTCCCCACACCTGATTCATACATAGTTAGTTAGTTAGTAGCGAGATTAACCTACGTCGCTGCTCTACTGCTCAACCGCTCTAATGTTTTCTTCAGCAACCTTCTTTCGCCAAGGTGAGAGAGAGAGAGATAGAGAGAGAGAGAGAGAGAGAGAGAGAGAGAGAGAGAGAGAGAGAGCGAGAGAGTAGTTTAGGACAATAGGACCCATGTAACGGCACGATGGCTAAGGAGCGCAGCCGATTTGACCGGAGAAATCGAGCAGGACACAACTCTCTCTCTCAACTCTCTCGGCGACAAGACAGGGCTGGATGAAGAACAAGAGGATGGACGGGTACAGCACGATGTAGCGATGCATGGGCGCGGCGGCGATGTAGCTGTCTGAGAGCAACCTTGGTCCGTGTATCCCGGGTCTGCCGGGCCACCTGGTTGAGTTGATATGATTCTGTTTAGATATTAAAAATTTAATTATATTTTTTTAATTAGCTATATTGTGGAATTTTATTTTATTTTTTTATTTTTTTTTTTTTCGAGGAGATGAAACCCTTTTTTTGAATGCGAGAAGAGAATGATACTGCGACATTGGACATGACATTGGACAATGACATCACACGTCGTGGGGTGTATTTTGCCATGACAAGCCCCGTACCGCACCGTGTAACTTACGTATGGTATCACAGATACGGACAAACGAGGACGGTCACGACAATACATACGCCCCATACGCCCTTCGTTGTATCCTGTATCTGTACTCCGTATTCCGTACAGAGAGCAAGGGTGTTAGTTTTTCCTACCCATCCCCCATATCCCCCCCCCCATGAACATCGACGGCGAAGTGGATATCTCCAGAAGAAGAAGAAAAGGAAGCTCTTTGGTGGGCATGCACGGTTGCTGCCCTAACCATGAGCTTCGAGCTAGCGAAAGGAACTGGCTTATCTTGCTCGTGCAGTACGACTGATGATGGGCCGATGACATACTTGCTGGCTTCTTCATCCCATGGATACCTCGTACCATGTCGACTTCACTAACATTCCTAGGAGTGGATGGGGGAAACCTTGTGCGACAGGCTTGGCCCAGCGCACGGAGAAATAATCAATTAAAAAAAAAAAAAAAAAAAAAAAACAGGGAAAAGAGCTTGAGCAATCGCCAGATCCAGAGAGATGCTGCGCAGATAACAGAGATAGATAAGCGAGGAGCAAGCAAACAAAGGAGGAAGAGGAAGAGATGTAACACCACAACAAGCACACCTGCAACCTGCAACCTGCCCCGGTTTTGTCGTTTGATTTGATTTTTTATGTTTTTTAACTGTTTACTCCGTTACAGGCCCGACAATTCCAGGCTCTGTATTCTGTATACAAACTGCAGGACGTTTATCATGCCCATCCTCATTCGCCAATTGGATACTAGTAACAGTAAACTATTACAAGGGGGGGGGAAGAGAAATAAAGGAGCGTCATGAGCAGGAATTGAGGAAGCGCGCATTTATTGGGAGCACACTGTAGTCTCTCTCTCTCTCTCTCTCTCTCTAGTAAAGTGCCCCAACCTTAATTTAACGAACAAGTTTAGTTATGACGATATGAAATCATTAATCATTCGGCTCCCCCGAAGCAAAATCTCCAGGGAAATAAGAATCTCACTCTCCGGGGTTCGCCGTGGGGGTTGGTTGGGGGGTTATCTCTTTGATTGAAAGGCATTGCAACAAAAAGCGATCGGGGAGACCGACCATTTTTCCTCTCCTCGATATCAAATACAAATACAAAATACAATACTACAAGACAAAATAGAAAATGAAAAGAGAGAGAGGGAGAGAGAGAGAGGGAGAGAGAGAGTCCCGCCAATCGAATCAAATCACACATGTTCATGTTCCCAGCATCACGCATCGTTATCTGCCACAGTACCACCTTGTTGCGCCCCAAAAACCTGCAGAAGCGCATCAAAGTTCCGGCTCCACCGCAGCGTTGCACTGGGCTGTTGCTCGTTGCGCTGCTTAGCTTGCTTAGCCTGCTTAGCCTGCATTGCTTTGCTCTCGTACCTCGCCTTGCCTAGGAGGGCCGTTTCTTGTGGGGAATCCACACAGCGTTCCCTCTTTTCTTTTCTTTTTCTTCCTTGTTTCTTTTTTGAGTTGTAGGGCGCCATGCTGGGGTTACATCATTCCTTTTGCGTGGCGTGGGGCGGAGGGGACCTAGTGTTTAGGGGCGAGGAGAGCAACTATCTGACTAACCCAAGGTGGGTTGAGACCTCGACATCATCCATTCTTATTTATGGCATTATTTTTGATTGTTCATAGGTTGGGTTGGGTTCGGTATGGCCGGGGCCGGGGCCGGGGCCCCGCCACATTGGATGGAATATGGAAAGGAATATGGATGATAAAGATGGTGGAACACACATTTGTTTTGGGTTGGGCATCGGCTGAACCTCAAAGTTTGATCAGAGTTTTCGGCCGTTTATTTTTGGCAGCGAAACTTTGCCCTCGGTTTCAAGATCTAGGAGAGGAAGGAGAATGGAGGCGACGTAGATGTGGAGGTAGAGGTAGAAGGTACAGGTCAAGGTACATGAATAGGTACATGGACAGCTACTGCACCGTGTCTACGCTGTACGGAGTACAAGCGACGATGGTGCCAGGTACTTCATTCTCGCTGGGGTCCCCGGTGTGTAGTTTGTTTGTTAGTGTGGGGAAGGGCATAGCACACATGAGACAACGAGAAGAGAACGAGAAGGACCTTCTTTCGTCACTTTGCAGCGAAGGAGCGCGGGACAGCGAGCAGTGCGTGGGTAGCAGACTTTGCCAGGCTGGATTGTGTTCATATACAGATCAGACAGAATCGAATATATCAATATCTATACATATTCTGGACATGTACACAGTAAGTACCAGTGACTCCACGGGTTCTCCATACTTATACAGCGTAACAACGTCATGGCTGGGGATAGCGCGTCTGCGATCCATCTCCACCGTCTCGCCGCTTATTGTATCTGAATTCTTGCATGAAAGAAGAAGCAAAAGATGAAAGGACTCCAGCCAGCGACGTTTTTAATTTCCGCCGTGGCGTCCCTCGCCAATCGAAACCTGGCCGATATATGGCTGATGTAAGCCCGCCGCCGCCTCCTGGCCCCAGACGCGCCAATCGTTGGCTGGCTTTTGGGTTTTTTTTTGGGGTTTTCCTTTTTCTCATTTTTTTCCTTTTGTCGTTCTTTTTTTATTTTAACCTTTGGCTTTTTGAGCGTTTTGAGGGGGAACAAAGTGCCCGGCGAGCTAACCCATCTAACCCACTTCCGCGAGTGGCTTTGTGGCCTGCGATCCTTAATCTGACAACCACTTCTCTTTGCGATGTGTACTAGTAGAGCCTGTCAATGCTGTCATGGGAGCCAGAAGTCGTCGTCGTCGTAGTGTCGGGTAAGCTACAACAGACTCGATCCTCATCTGGCTAGTGCTGGCGAGCAAGCTTCATGTCCGGGGTGCTTTCTGTCCATCTTTCCATGGTCGCTGGCCATCATCCCCTTAAGTGTCCCAATCCCCTGCTTCCATTTCCCGGCTAGAACTTGGGGCCACTGCTTTTCTCCAGTTTTTTTTTTTTTCCTCTCGTTGCTCTTTTTTTTTTCCCGATCCTGTGATTAAAACCACCCCTGCCGGCCCTTGAATCGCCATCCTCGGACCACTCACGTCGTGGAGCTAGAGGAAGGATATCCGAGAGAGAGAGAGAGAGAGAGAGAGAGAGAACGCAGCTCGAGATTATTATTCCATAAGCAATAGCGTACAGTACATCCCTCCGCGTAGCGTGATTATACTGCTTGCCTGCACCAATCTCCATCCAGGAAATTGAATCCTCCTCCGCCGTTTGATCTCGCCTGCCTGGGCACGTCCTGGGTACTTGCGACTTCTTTGTATACAGTACATCAAGTCTACGAGTCTGCGACCTGCGACTGCTACGGACTCCACAGCTAGCTGACTAGCTGACTAGCCCGTGACCTGTTACTTCGTGGGCCAGCTTCCATCGCTACCCCGTCGCCAGCTTTGGTGGTTCAGACCCCATTCTGGATGTAGCATATGAGTCCCCCCTCTGACCTTGATCCATCCCAGTGGTACCGCTAAGGACTGGCTAAGGACTGGCCGCTGCGACTCCCGGCTTGCTCAAGCGTTCTCGAGTGCTATCTCGCGCTAAGTTTTTGCTCTCTCTCTCTCTTTTTTTTTCTCGCGCTCGCGTTGCTTGTGTCCGTGTGTCTTGTCTGATTCTGATCTGTGTGCATCCGTCCCCATCGCCATCGCCATCGCCATCGCCATCGCCATCGTCACCCCTCTCCTCCCCCTGGCCTCCGTTTCCCCAGTCTTCCCCCAGTTCTCCAATCTCATCCTCCAGGTCTCCCCAGGTCTCTTCGAGCCACCAGCCATCCGCCATCCGCCATCCGCGGGCCTTTTCTCCAATCGTCCCCAGCTCTTTGTTTCTTTTTTTCCTTTTTCCATTTTTTCCCTTTTTTGCCATTTTCTCCCCCTTCTTCACCCTGCGTTGCTGGCTGTCTGTCGCGTGCTAGCTAGTGGTTGCCCCAGGTGCCCGCTCCATATCATCCTCTGCGACTCTGCAACTCTGCGACTCTGTGACTCTGCTAAACCTGCTTTACTACTGTCTCATCCGCCAGCCAACGCCAGCAACCACGCCAACGGCCCTCCACTGCGACCCTTTGCATTTGCCTCTCGTCTTGGCCAAAGGGGTTGGCTTCTCACTCTCTGTCTCGCTCTCACGCGCTCACTGTTCCCCAGCTTACTCTCCTCTCTCCGTTGGTTATTTACTTTTTCCATTTTAAATTAGTCTCGAACGTATTTCGTGGGGACTCAGATCGCTCGCTTGCCTGATTTGCCTGCTGCTTATCTTCCTCCTCCCCTCCCCCCATCCCGGGGACGTTATTATATCTTGCCCCTCCGACGCTCATCTTTAAACCTGGTTTGTTTTTTTGTTTTTGTTTTTGTTTTTTTTTTTTCCTTTCCCTCGTGCGCGCTCTTTCTCTCCGCTTCCTCTATCCAAAAAAAGCCCCCTTTCCCCACAAAGCAGCTGTCAAAGCTTCCTGCGGAGGTCACAATCGCGTGCTGTGTGTGCGATTTGGTGCCGTCGATCCATTTTTTTAATCTTTGCTTTCTTTTAAACCTTTGCTTCTCTCTCTTGGATTGGATCTTGAATAATTGTTCATTCAATCCTCGTGTGCGTGTGCGTGTGCGTGTGCGTGTGTGTGTGTGTGTGTGTGTGTCTATATGGACTAGGTAGGTCGGATCGATTGTGTTTTAATCTTGGTCCCGCTCTTCTGCGCCTCGAATCCTTTGAATTCAAATACCCTCACTCACTGTTATCAAACACACATCTCAACACCGGAGTGTATTGTTTGCTTTCTTTCTTTTTTAACATTTGACTACGCTTTTGTGCCGCAGCTTGTGCACTTACAACTATCCTCTCTCTCTTCCTCACTATCTCCAAGCCCTACTCTCCCTTGTTAGGCCATCGTTATCTCTCTCCTTTTCTCCTTTTCTCCTTTCCTCCTCTCCTTTGCTCCTTGCACCCCTGCTGCATCCAACACCTTATTTTATTTTAAATTTTCATTTTATCAATTCACTAGTTAAACGCGTGGTTGAAATTGGGGTCTCCATAGTCCCACTACTGAGATTACTCCCTACTACTGTCACCCCTTCCCCCGGTCTCATCCCCACGCAGATTGCAGGCATCGATCAAGGCAAATAAGGTGTTTATTTTATATATCCCCGTGCTGACCTGCATCATCGCTGACATGCTGTCATAAATTGCCCTTTCCAATCTTTTGCTCGTTTGAGCGTCGCATGTATTCCCCTCTTTCTAGATAAGAGCTCTTTCTGTCTTTGCTCTGTACTTTTCTTTTACCTTTTCTTCTTGCTTTCCTTTTTGTTATCCTTTTCCAAGCGTGGGAAGCGGTTGAGTTGTCCATTGCTAACACTCGATGATCGCAGATCTTCAAGGGGGCTACTATATATCCTGATATACACAACACCCCTCTTGACACCTTAGTTTCTTGTCGTTGCTCCGTTTCGACTCAATTCCCACCACCGCCATGTCTTCGCACGGTGAGAAGCAATTGGGTCCCCACAGCGAGAAACCGGTCGATGAGGAAATCGTCCGGCCCGCCACGGAAGTCACAGGAAAGCCATGGATGTACAAGCGTCCTAAGATCGGATCGTTCGCCCTTCCATACTATGCCTCCCCTGCTTCGCAGCTGCTCCTCGTCTCCTTCGTCTGCTTCCTCTGCCCTGGTATGTTCAACGCCCTGAACGGTCTGGGTGGAGGTGGCCAGCAAAGCTCCCATGCCATCAACGTCGGAAACACTGCTCTCTACAGTACCTTTGCCGTCGTCGGTTTCGCTGCAGGTTCCATTGCCAATCGTATTGGTCTCCGCTGGACCCTTCTCTTCGGTGGCTTTGGTTACTTCCTCTACGTCGGATCTATGTTGTCGTACAACCACAACAGAAACTTGGGCTTCCTCACTTTTGCCGGTGCGCTGTTGGGTGCTTGTGCTGGTTGCTTGTGGTGCGCCCAGGGTGCCGTTATGATGAGCTATCCGGATGAGAAGTCCAAGGGCAAATACATTTCCTGGTTCTGGATCATTTTCAACTTGGGTGGTGTCATTGGAGGCTTGGTAAGGTTTCTTTTTTTTTTTCTTTCTCTGTTATGCCGTGTTTTTTCATCATCGAGTTTGAATTAATCGTGGTTGATCCATAGGTTCCTTTGTTCCAAACCCTGAACGTCAAAGAAGGCAGAGCCGTTGGTGACGCAACCTACATCGCCTTCATGGTTCTCATGTTCATCGGTTTCGTTCTCTGCTTCTTCCTGGTTGAGTCCAAATACGTCCGTCGTGAGGACGGTTCGCAGGTCATTGTCATGAAGAACCCATCCTGGTGGTCCGAAATCAAGGGCCTTGGCGAGGTTCTGATCTCTGACTGGTACATCGTCGCCCTCTTCCCCATGTTCATCGCCAGTAACTGGTTCTACGCCTACCACTTCAACAACGTCAACGGCGCCAGGTTCAACATCCGCACCCGCGCCCTGAACAGCTGCCTCTACTACCTCGCCCAGATGTTTGGCGCGTTCATCTTTGGATACATGTTGGATACGCCCTCCCTTCGCCGCACCACTCGTGCTCGTCTTGGCTTGGGTGTCCTTTTCGTCTTCACCTTGGCCGTCTGGGGTGGTGGTTATGCCTGGCAACGCCAGTATACTCGCGCGGATACGGCCCCTAAGGATTCGCCCCGTATCGATTTCGAGGACTCCGACTACGTTGGTGGTATGTTCCTGTATATCTTCTATGGTGTTTACGACGCTGCGTATCAAACCTGCGTGTACTGGTGAGTTGTTTACCCTTGTCCCCTTCTTGTTTACATCGTCACTTTGGTTTCAGAAAGGAATATCAAAAAAGGCGAAAGTTGAAAAAAGTGAGAAAATAGATTTGCTGATATATTTCTTTTTGAAACTTCCAGGTTCATGGGTGCCTTGAGCAACAACAGCCGTAAGCTTGCCAACTTCGCTGGTTTCTACAAAGGTCTCCAATCCGCCGGTGGAGCCGCTACCTGGCAGTAAGTTCCCAACCCTTCCCGTTCCTTGTCGCTCATATCCCTCCCGCACAATCTCTCTCTTTCTCTCCTTCGCTCTCTCTCTCTCTCTCAACTGGTCTCTCTGTGTGTGTGTGTGTGTGTGTGTGTGTATGTG